CCAGATCTATCTTCTTACATCTCAGGCTGATTTTGTGGGTGTTCAGAGTGGTCTGGTAGATATCCAGCTCAACTCCGGGGACTGGTTGGAATAGGGTCTCCTATTCCTTCGCCATTCCCCCCACCACCACCACCAAACTGAAACTTTTGTGGATATCATTTGTAGGCAAGGCAACCTGAGCCTGGCCGAGACAATGGCATGAGAGAATTTAGTCATGCTATTATAGAGAGGGATGTCGGGGAGGTATGTTAGTGCTGAAATGAGCTGTTGGGTTCATTTGAACAGTCATTTATTGAGGTGAATTATGTGGTTGGAACTCTGCAAGCTACTGCTCTGCTCTGTAGAAGTTGTTCCTGTAACAGGAGAGACAGGCAAATCAATTACATAAGTGCTAACATACAGGTGTGTATCTTGAGAACACAGCAGAAGCACTGTCTTTTCATTCCTACTCATTTATCAGTTCATCACTCATCTAATTCTAATGCTTAAGCATATTCTATGCTTTTTTCTTCATAGGCTATGCCTCACCTTCATTACTTTCTTACTTAATGCCTTTTCTCTAGCTTGCCTTCCCATTTTTCTCCTCTTTACTAAATCCTTCCTTTCTTTCCTTTTCTTTTTAATTGAAATATAGTTGACACACAGCATTACATTACATTACTTTCAGGTGTACAACATAGCAATTTGACAAGTCTATAGGTTATGCTCTGCCCACAAGTGTAGCCACCATCTGTCACCATACAGTGCTACTACTATAGTACCACTGGCTATATTTTCCATGCTGTAAAAATCCTTCCATTTTTAAAGGCTTTTGCTGCCATCCCCTCTAGGGCTTGTTCTCATTCTTGAACTCTTAGAACACATAGTTGTCACTAATAAGTGTTAAATATTGTTGAATTAATTTGTCATTTGTTATTTACTTGTTTTTACTTACCCCATTGTCACTTACTTGTATGTGTTCCTTTTTAGGTTATAATTGGAGGTTATAGGTTGGGACATATCCTAGTTTAGTGGAAAAAGCATGTCACCTATTATATATAAAATCTTAACTCCTCTTTAAAATAGAAAATGTCCATATCATACCTATCTAATAAGCACTAAATGTGATACTGTGAGTGAATGTACATTGCACATTCAGTTAAAAGATAAGTTTAGTTCTTGTAACTAGTTGTTAACAATTGACCATTAATAATACTGGATCTTTTAACTTTGAATTCATTCTTTGGACAAATTAAAATTTCTCCTGCTCTATGGTCTGCCACAATTGGCATAAAACTAATTGATGATTAGGAATCCCATTTCAAATGTCTGATTCAAATTTTTTTTTTTTGATGAAAAAGAGAAGATCACCTCTAAGGGGAGAAAAAATAAACATTTACTTGCAAAATGACTTGATTATCATTAGGACTTTTCTTCAAAAACACAGATTGAATCCTTTTTGTATAATGAAGTAATTTAGAGAAATTGGGGTGGTTCTGGAAGCTTATTATAAGATACATTTTGCCCCAATTAACATTTTTAAAATCTTGTAGGAAAGACTGATATAGCAGTCTTTGTCTGGAAGTAATTTAAAAATGTTCTAACTAGAGCATTTTACAATTCACTTTTCATGTCAATTAGTATGTGATTGCTCACTTCTGGATAGAGTTTTTAGATCAGGAAGTGAAGGGTTTTTTTCTGAGAGGCCTTGAGGAAAAGAATTACAGTTTAGCCTTTATGAAAGGAGAATAATTGTGGGACAATTGTAGGTCCTCAAAGAGCCTACTTTCTTATTACTTCTTACTTTAAAAATACATATGTATGTTTTTCAGACATAAGAATTGAACTCTTAATGTTGTATTAATGAAAGTGATTTTCTTCTATTAATGAACATATTTTCAAAATGTGAGTATTTGATACATCCCCATCTTTCCATTTGAGTTATTAATATTACTATACTCTAATGTAAAGTTGCTACACATGGGATGGATGGATGGAAGGAAGGAAAGAAGGACTAAAATCTATGGTTAAAACACTTTGTACTTATTTTTCCCACCTACTCCTGTTTCCTACCCACTCAAGGAATAATTCAGCACAGGGCATCACAATGTGGCATTTAGCAGTGGGGATGAATCAAGTACTTATCTACCTTCTGACATCTATCCTGTATCACCTGGGATTTATTTAAATTTATGAACTATTTTCCTTATATTTAAATTTTTAGGCTATTAAATGTTATCTTTATTTTGCTAGAGATGGCATATGGTACATTGGTGTGTGTGCATGTATATATGTACATGTATACCTGCAGTATACACATATGAGAAAGTATGTATTCATGAGAAGATAGGTAATTAAAAAATCAGTGTGGGTTTATGAGAGTTCAATAGTTAGTGTGTAATGTGAAAATACTTAACAGAATTTCAACTACAGTCATTTATTCAACAAATGTTTGATGAATATCAGACAATGTTCTCTGTACTGAGCCAAGAGGGGTGGGGTAGGGGAGAGTCAGACAAAGGTGATCAAAACTTGGTCCCTCTCTAAGAAGAAAGACAAGCATACAAACACATAATTATAATGTAGTGGATGTGCAATGAAAAGGCTGTGAACACATTATGAAAACACAGAAAAGGAGAAAACTAGGACTATTGGAAAATGTCAAGGAAGGCTTCACAGAGATGATACTGGAGATGTCTATGAGGATAAGTGTGAGTCCACAGGGAATACATGTATACAGTTGTCTTCTTAGAGGAGAGGTAGGAACAAAGACCATGGCTGTCTCAAGAGATGACATCAGGTTTTTTGTTTTGAAGTGAGGGGATAGGGCCTGGCCTCACACCTTGGGAGCCTGGCCTGACTTAGCTGTCCTTTTGAAATTGTATCTAAGGCTAAGCCTAATGCAGCAGTGAAAGGGAACATGGGCTAACCCCCTGGCTACAGAAAAGCCTTGGTTGAATAAGAGGTAGTGCCCAGACTACTTGCATTAACAGGGAAAGGGGAGGAGAGTAGCCAACTGGAAAACATTTTTGCTGTGGCACAATTGGTCTTTATTTTCTGGGTCACTCTGAGGATTTCCAACAGCTCCTACTCTGGGTTTCAGAAAAATCCATGAAGCAGACAGAAACCAAAGATCCTTGAAAGTTGAGTTTCATTTGAGTTTCTGAAAGGGAAAAGAAAAGCAATAGGACATTATTCTGTTTGAAACTAAAAACTGTTCATTTGAGATCTGGTCTCTTCCAGTTGTCTGGCTTTGTATAAGTGAATGAAATGATGTTAGTCAATTAGAGATTCTGGGTTTTCATAGAATCCATAAAAATCATATTGTTTATTTGGTGCTTAGAATATTCTATATTTTTTTCTGTATAACATCTTTATTCTGAATGTAGTAATTACATTAGTTAAATGAGCTATTTGCTGTCAACCTTCTGTTTCTAATGCAGATAACTGGCATGAGAAGGGAGGGCCCGAAACCCTTTCTACTGACATAGCGTTGGTTCTGGGTTAATGATAGTTTTGGTGCACTCCATTGTCAAGGATATCAAAACCAAGATGCCTAGATTAGGCATAATTAAGGCTCAGGGTCAGTTTCCAAGGCTGAGATCAGGAGCAGGGAGATGGACATTTAATGTAAGAGTAAGGTTGTACATAGGAATTGGAATTTGAATCTGATCGATGAGCCAAGATACAACCAGAACAAGCAATTTTGGAGTAAGTAGAAAAAACAAGACTAGGGCTAACAAGCCAGAGGGGCAGATGGGAGAAAGCAAGCCGGCCTCTTTACTTTCTCTTTCTCTTCCTCCTCGTTATACCAGAGACATCTTTTGGTTATGTAGCCTGTGAAGGCAAGTTATATCTTTCTGTCAGGATCCTGACTCTTTAATAATTCTGTTTCTTTTATAACATAAGTTGCTTTCCTTGTAATGTCACAGGAGCCCTTCTTAGTGTTATTTCCTCCTAAGCATTAACAAGAGGCATATTTGATATTAAAGGCTCATGAATGGTAGTTGACTTTTTTAATCATCAAACATTTTCTTCTCTATCTCTGATCGTTCAAAGGGAAAAGTAAACAGATTTTGCCCATGAAAATTTAATATTTTGGAGCCAAGTATTTTGAGGTTCCTTTTATTGCCACTAAATAACTTTACATTACAAAAGTTGACTCAAAAATATCTTACATTAATGGCAAAGTCAAATAAAGTAACAATTTGTTTTGCTATCCTACAAAGGTTGAAATCCTAGCAATGTATTAATATAAACAATGGAACTAGTTCCCAAGGCATTAAAGAGATATGAGGAAATTCTATTTTTAAAATTTCAGTTGAAATGCAAAACACTATTGCTTTCTTAATAAACAACAATAAAAAATAATTAGTTATTAGAACTTCACACATAATCTTAGTTATTCATATGTGCTTTACAGGGTATCTTTGATAAAAGTTGAGTTAATTTACATGTATCCATATGGTGCCGGCAAGCAGTTCATACCATTTTACCTGAATGTGGTAATTACTATGTCAGACAATCAATTTTAATAGCAATGATATTGCAGTGTGAAGAGTTCACCTAGAGCTTAAAACCGTCACCAGTACTGCTTTTGTGAAGGATAATTGAGATTTTGTGTGAAACACTGAATGAATTACCTCTTGAAAATGAAAGGAATAATGAAGATAAAGCGCTGTTGTTTAATGGTTAGCCCCTACCAAGCAAATTTGTGAAAATGAAATTGAATAGGAATTTTAAGTCTCAAAACTGTTCAGAGAGCTTTGAGTGAACCTGAAAGTTGAACTGTGTCGTTACAAAGACAAAAGCTTCTTTACTTTTTCTTGTAAATTTAGCATCCTTGATCCTTTTCCAATTAAATATTAGGTTATTAAAAATAGGTGTTAATCACTACATGTTGTTTATCAGTGGAAATAAATACAAAAGGAGGATTTTTGGTTTCTTCTAGTCACTAGCAGAGAACAATTTGCCACAATTTATGTAGTAAATAAATGCATTATAAAATTTTTGTGTTTTAGTGATTCATCAGAAGTGGTCACACATTCAGCTGATGCATTTGCACCTGTTGCTTATCTACGCTTTTTGGAATTGCACTTGGAGGACAAGGCAAGTAAACCTAAGATTCACTTTCACAGTGATTTCAAGAGAAAATGGGGATGTAGGCATTGGCTCTGTATCTTTAATTCTATAACAACAGATAAAAGGGTAAAAAAAAAAGTCATTTTATCATTAGTGATTTTTTTCCCCAGATCCTCAGTCAGTAACTAAGAATTTTGCAGATATTTATGGTTTTGAGAACTCTGTATGATGCCTAAGAAATTACATTTCTGAAGAGTTTGCAATTCAGTTAAAAATGGAATCATACATACATCAAGCAATGAGAAGACAGGACAGTATATAAGCAAATATTAAATCACCTAGTAAAAAAAGAATTAGTTTATCATACATAAGCATGAGGGGAATGGTTTAGGAATGAATTGGAGCTTCATTATACAAAGTTTAAGAGTGGAGGAAAAGAAGAAATAAGAGCTTTTCCAAAAATATCAAAGAGAACAGAAGTACAAGTGAAAGATGGAAAGTGAAACAAAAGTGTGATAAAGAGTTTTATTTTAAATACATTGATTGTCAAGATACAGCAGAATGTCAATTTAAGGATGTCTTGTGGAATAGGTAAAGATCTGGATTAGACCCTTTGATTAAAGATCTCCTCCTTACTGGGTGTTGTATGTAAGTGATGAATCACTGAATTCTATTCCTGAAACCAATATTGCACTGTATGTTAACTAACTAGAATTAAATAAAGTTTTTTTAAAAGTCTGCTACTTTAAATATAAAGGATTAGAAGAAGTTTTCTGCATCTTTGGTGTTCTGCCACCAAGTCTTGAGGCACACCTAGTTTTATGTATATATATGCATGATAGGGGAATCTGAAGAATCAAGAGGTTTAATGAAGATTGGCAAAGGAAGGAAAAGAATGGTAACTCCAGAAATCAGGACAAAAGAGTTTCCAAAGGAAGAAAATAGTTATCAGTGTCTAGAAAAATTAGAATAGACAGGATTGAAAGTAGATCACTGAATTAAGCTAGAAGATGATTATTGGTGACCTTTTCCCGAAAAGCTGGTAATCCTCGAGAAAATGAAGCTGTACTATGCAAACATCCTCCATATCCAGGGAAAGGAACCTCTTACTTTCTAGGTCTCTGCTACTATTGCTGCCATGTGCACACACACAAAGTAAAAAACCACTGAATTTTTGTTTAGACATATCAGCCATTGTATGCTCAGCTTTACCTAAATAGCTCATTGTTCACCTTGTTGTTTTAGTACTTCATTTGTTTTCACAGTCCATTTTGCCCTCTTAAAGAAAAGAATGTTATTTCTTTAAGGTGGAGTATTCACTGACACTGAATAAATATGGTGCATTTTCCTTCTTCTTCTTCTTCTTTTTTTTTTTTTTTCTTTTAGGTGTCCCCAGTGCCTGACAACTACAGAACATCTAATTATATACATAATTCTTGAAGAACATTTTTGGACATTGTTTACTAAGCTACCATTTCTGTATGAAGAAAACTACATAGCATTTCCTCAGCTAGTATATCCAGCTCTTTCTCTGCATTTTTTTTTTGTTCTTAGAAATATATATCTTTATCAGAAGAAGTTAATAGAAACTGATTAATTGGGGAAATGTGAAAGTCTCATTCGTTATTATTGGTGACTTCCTCAGGATTCACTTTCTCTGACTTTAGTTACCATGTCCTATCCGTGACTGTACATGGTAAGTGCCCTTTTTTCCCCTTTTACTTCCTCTATAGCTGTCATTTCTATAACATTTATTTACTTTCATCCCATTGTTTTATTGTACTCATTCTCTCTTTCCTGCTCTCCCCTCTGCCAATTACAGAATGATGCAGATCATTTGAAAATGAGAATGAAAAGGCAGTCACTTTAGTTAGCCAGTCAGGTTTATTCTCCTGGGTACTGGCATGACTTGTCATTTTTGTTTCGATATAGTATTCATTTTATCAATAGTATTGGATAATCAGGAAGAATATCATTAAATCTTACTGATTGTTTTATAACAATGAAAAATGCAATTTTTATATCCAGTGGAAAAAGGTCTTTTCAACAAATAGTATTAGACAGCAACATGCAAACGAATGAAACTGGACCACTTTTTTACACCATACACAAAATTAAATTGAAAATAGACTAAAGACCTAATTGTGGGACCTGAAACCACAGGAATCCTAGATGAGAACACAGGCAGTAACCTCTTTGACGTCGGCCATAGCAGCTTCTTTCTAGATAAAAGCTCCTAAGGCAAGGGAATAAACAAGAGCAAAAATAAACTACTGGGACTTCATCAAAATAAAAAGCTTCTACACAGCGGGGCGCCTGGGTGGCTCAGTCATTAAGCGTCTGCCTTCGGCTCAGGTCATGATCCCAGGGTCTTGGGATCGAGCCCCACATTGGGCTCCCTGCTCTTCGGGAAGCCTGCTTCGCTTCTCCCTCTCCCACTCCTCCTGCTTGTGTTCCCTCTCTCACTGTGTCTCTCTCTGTCAAATAAATAAATAAAATCTTTAAAAAAAAAAAAAAAGCTTCTACACAGCAAAAGGAGCAATCAACAAAACTAAAAGGCAACCTAAGGAATGGGAGAAGATATTTGCAAATGACATATCTGATAAAGGGTTAGTATCTGAACTATATAAAGAACTTACAAAATTCAACACCCAAAAAACAGTCCAGTTAAAAAAAGGGCAGAAGACATGGACAGACGTTTCTCCAAAGAAGACATACAGATGGCCAACAGACACATGAATAAATGCTCAACATCACTCATCATCAGGGAAATGCAAATCAAAACTACAATGAGATATCCCCTCATACCTGTTAGAATGACTGAAATCACACAAGAAGCAGCAGATATTGGCAAGGATGTGGAGAAAGGGGAACTGTCTTGCAATGTTGGTGGGAATGCAAACCGGTGCGGCCACTCTAGAAAACAGTGTGGAGGTTCCCCAGAAAGTTAAAAATAGAACTACCCTGCAATCCAGCAATCTCACTACTGGGTATTTATCCAAAGAATACAGAAATACTAATTCAATGGGATATGTGCACCTCCATGTTTATAGCAGCATTACCTACAATAGCCAACTTACAAAAAAAAACACAATTTTTTGGTACTATCCGTGCTGACCGTAGACAACTTTATTTTGAATAGACTTAATTTTTTACAACAATTTTGGATTCACAGAAAAATTGAGCAGAAGGAACAGAATTCCCATATGCCCCCCAGCCCTCACACATGCACAGCCTTCCCCACTGTCAACTTCTGGTGCCAGAGTGGTACATTTATTACAGTCGATGAACCCACATTGACACATCTTTATCAAAGTACCTAGTTTACATTATGGCTTACTCTTAATATTGCACGTTCGGTGGGTTTGAGCAAATGTATAGTGACATATATCCACCATTATGGCATCATACAAAATAGTTTCACTGCCCTAGAAATCCTCAGTGCTCTGCCTATTCATCCTTTCTTTCCCTCTTACCCCTGGTAGCCACTGATCTTGTTACAGTCTCTATAGTTTTACCTTTTCCAGAATGTCATATAATTGCAGTCATACAATGTGTAGCCTTTTCACACTGGCTTTTTTCACCTAGAAATATGCATTTAACTTCTTCCATGTCTTTCCATAAGTTTTAAGTGTTGAGTAATATTCCATTGTCTGGATGTGCCACAGTTTATTTCTCATTCACCTACCAAAGAACATCTTGGTTGCTTCTAAGTTTTGGCAATTATAAGTAAAGCTGCTATAAATATCCATGTGCAGGATTTTGTCTTCACCTCCGTTGGGTAAATACCAAGGAGTGTGATTGCCAGATCATATGGTTAAGACTATGTTTAGTTTTGTAAGAAACTACCAAACTGTCCTCCAGTGTGGCTGTACAATTTTATATTCCCACCAGCAATGAATGAGAATTCCTGTTGCTCTACATCTTCATCAGTATTCAGTATTGTCAATACTTTGGACTTGTGCCATTCTAATAGGTGTGCAGTGTTATCTTGTTTTAAATTTGCATTTTCCTGAATGCATTTGATGTGGAACATCTTTTCATATGCTTATTTGCCCATTCCTATATCTTCTTTGGTGAAGTGTCTGTTCAGATCTTTGCTCATTTTTTAATTGAGTTGTTTATTTTCTTATTATTGAGTTTTAAGAGCTCGTTGTATATTTTGGATAGTTCTTTATCAGCTATGTCTTTTGCAAATGTTTTCTACCAGTCTGTGGCTGTCTTCTCACTCTCTTGTCACTGTCCTTTATAGAGCAGAAGTTTTAATTTTAATGAATTATTAATTATTTCTTTCATATATCATGCCTTTGATATTGTATCTAAAAAGTCATCATCAAACCAAAGGTCATCTAGATTTTCTTTTATGTTATCTTCTAGGAGTTTTATAGTTTTACATTTTACATTTGGGTCTATGTTCCATTTTGAGTTAATTTTTATAAAGAAGTATAAGGACTGTGTCTGGATTCATTTTTTTGTATGTGGAAGTATAGCTGTTCTGGCACCATTTGTCGAAAAGACTATCTTTTCCCCATTATTTGCATTGCTCCTTTGCCAAAGATCAGCTAACTATATTTGTGTGGCTCTGTTTCTGAACTCTCTAGTCTGTTCTATTGCTCTGTTTGTCTATTCTTTTATCAATACCACAATGTCTTAATTACTATAGCGTTATAGTTTGTCTTGAAGTCATTAATGTCAGCCTTCTGACTATTCTTTTCCTTCAATACTTTGTTGACTATTCTGTCTTCAGACTATTCTGAGTCTTTCCATATAAATATTAGAATCAGTTTGTAACTTACTGACATTTTGATTGGGATTGCATTGAAGCTGTAGACCAAATTAGAAAAAACCGACATCTTGACAATATTGTCTTTCTACCCATGATCATGTAATATCTCTCAATTTATTTATTTAGTTCTGTGATTTCTTTTGTTAATTTTGCTAAGACATTTTACTTGTCTTCATTATTATAACTTATGTTAAATGTTGCCTCCTTTAGACCTTTTTTGTTTTTTGCAAATGACAAGCTTTGATATGACATTCTTAGTGTGGAACCAGAGGGAAACAGTGAGAGTTTCTTTCTCAGAAATCCCATTGCATCTCAGTGGCTTGGGCAAAGGTTGGGCTAAGTCACCATCTTTACTCCAGACCTTACTCAGGGAATAGAGAAGGGTATTGTCTAGAGGGAGCACAAAGTATGGTTTCCAAAAGAAAGATAAATAAATGCTAGAGGACAAAAATACAGATCCTTTTCACATGTTTTATCAAAATCACATTGCTATTTCAAATTCATAGTAAATTAATTAACATTCCACCCCAGATAACAGTGAGATGTAGAATGTAGTACTGTGAATATCACTCTGAAAATCTGTATCTGTTCCCTAAATTCCTTTAATTTCAATTCATTCTATAACACATTTGCAATCTAGCTTGACCTCGGTTACTTTGATGAACTGCTGTTGATGTTTTCTCAATCTTCATAATCTTTAATTAATCCTTTTCCTTGATAATATTGTCCACCATCTCCTTGAAAAATTCCCCTGTAATGGTTATATGTCTCTGTACCATTCTGACTTCTACTCGCTCAAGATTTCTTCTATGTCCTTCAGTAGTTTCTCTGCTTCTTACCTTCAACAAATGTATATAACCCCAAGTTCTTTTTAAGGTTCCATTTTTTTCATTTTCCACATTTTCTGTCTCTGGGATTTTGTCTTCTCCCACAATCTACATTTCAGCTCTATGCAGATGATTCTAAAGTCACTCTCTTTCTGGTTTTTCTGCTGATAGCTACACTTTCTCCTTATCTCTAGATCCTTATTTCTGACCCGCTGCTGGGCATCACTGCCAATATGTATCAAGTTCATTGTGTACAAGCCTTGAACTCATTTTCCCCTCCAAGTTTACTTTCTGCCTGTTTTTGTTCTTTAACACAACTGTTTTCCCCCTAGTAACTCAGGAACAGAATATTGGCATCATCTATTACAGCTGTCTCTCCTTTACCATGACATTCAGTTGGTTATCTAATTCTTTACATGCTAATTCTCTAATATATGTTTTACACCATTCCATCTCCATGCCCATCTCTCTAGTTAAAGTCATATCTTGCCCAAACTCTTGGATAACATACAGCCTCTTTAAGTGAACTCCTTGCTTTTTATCCCCATATTCTGTTCCACTGCCATATTGATTTTATGTCTCTGCACAAAAATCCATAATACAGCTGCATTGTTTTCTAAATAAACAAGATGTTTAGACATTAATTGAAGATTGTATAACATGGTACCATAACATCCTTTCTCAGACTTGCTCTCAGGAACCCTCTACATGTATCCTTTGCTCCAGTAGTACAGAACCATTGGATAGATACTCCCTTACTGTGCCTTCTTCTTCTCTCCTCACTTGCCTTTGCTTATTCTATCTTCTCTGTCTTCCTTTCTCCATTTCCTTTTACTGTTTACAACCTGCCCATGATGCAAGCTTGAACTCAAATACTCATATATTTAGCCACATCAGATGAACTGTCATAACACTTTGTTTCTTCCTTTCTTGTGACAAATAATCAGCTTTATGTTATAATGTTTAAGGACTTATTTCCACTAGGTTGTAAGTTTCTTCAAGACTGTTTGTTCCTTTTTTCATTTTTCTACTCTCTGTAACAGCTCTTGGTTCTGGAATAAGATTTTTGAATTTGTAAATGATTGTTATTTTCTTCATTTTTTCTTCTTACAGAATTTTATAGACATATCCTTCCTTTTCATGTTGCATACCATTTAATGAAAGTCACTTTCTCGTTCATTTTTCTTTCATCTTGGTGTTAGAGAAAAATACTCTTAAACTAGAATGTAAAATACAACCTTTAGACAGGTTGTTAGTGTAAAATTTAAGTTATCACTAAGATTTTCACTTTACATATGATGACCCATAAACTTACCTATCTAATAATTAATATTTAAATTTTATCTTTAAGTCAAAATTGTAAAGTTATTTATGTGAGTATAAAACTTATGTTGACTAAACAGAGGATCCCAAACAAAATAACTGAATAATGGAAAGCTCCAGGTTAAAAATGGGGAAATATATTAAAATTTCTTTGGGGCCTTGACTTTATTGCTTATGGCAAACTTGATGCTAAAATGTACCATACATCACTGCAGTGACAGGCTTGAGAAAATGAAAAATACAAAGCTTTACATAAATCAGCTAAAAGATCATATTAAAATGCATAACCTTTAACAGAAGAATCAAGACTTTTACTTTCCACAATTCACAAGCTTTTTCTTTCTTATGTAGTTGTTTAGATTTTCCA